CAGATACCAGGGGCAGCTGGGATGCAGAGCTGGGCATCAGGTGCCAGACTCAGCCCCCCTGGGGACAGGACCCCTGGGTCCATCTCCACCCCTGCTCCCCACACCATTGCTGCTCCTAGCCTGGAAGTAGCAGGGTCCTGTTGATGCCAGGGCCAGTGCCCGCGCTCCTGGGGCAGCTGGGTTGGGGGCTCCTGAAACCTGACAGGGACCATCTGGGGCAGGTGAGAGGGCCAGGGCAGGCTGCCAAGGGGCCTGCGGTGCCCCCCTCCCTGCCCCGCCCCTCTGAGCACCTGTGGGTCCCCAGGAAGAACGTGGAGAAGCGGGCGCTGCTGGAGAACATGGAGGGGCTCTTCCTGGCTGTAGACGAGATCGTGGATGGAGGGTGAGTGCTGGTGCCCCCCATCTCCTCTCACCCCTGTGGCCCAAGAGAGCTGGGGCTGGCTGTGCCCGGGCACTGACGTTGGCTGCTGTGGGATGCCCATAGGGTGCCCGACCACCATGATCTCAGCTGCCAGGTACCCATGTGCGTGGCCGTGCCCAGGGGTGGCACCATATGGGGCACCCAACCCCCCACCTTGTGCCAGGCAGGGCAGTGCAGGGTTGACCAGCTGTGTCCTCTTCCCCACCTCCACAGGGTCATCCTGGAGAGCGACCCCCAGCAGGTGGTTCATCGTGTGGCTGTGCGGGTGAGTGGGGGTGTGGGGGCACCGGCACTGTCCCTGGGTCCCATCCGCAGCGTGTGGCAGCAATGCCCCCTGGTGGGCATGGAGCAAGGGGGCAGGACCTGGCTGCTTGTTGGGGGCTGGTAGTGCCTGTGGCTGGCGCTGATGATCTGTGTCTGCTGCAGGGCGACGACGTGCCCCTCACGGAGCAGACAGTCTCTCAGGTACGTGCCCGGTGCCAGAGGGAGGGAGGGGGGTTTCCCCTGCAGTCCCCTGAGCCCCGGCGAGGGCTGGGGCTGGGCCTGGTGCCCCCCCTGCTGACCCCTGCTCTCTGCCGCCAGGTGCTACAGTCCGCGAAGGAGCAGATCAAGTGGTCCCTGCTGCGATAGGGGGGGCCTGGTGCCCCCTGTGCCCATCTACTGTGTTCCCTGCCCCCCCCGCACTGATCACACCAACATGCCGCCTCGCTCCAACCCGCCTCTGGCTTGTTACTGACCTCCACCCCCCGCCCCCCCCCCGGGTACTGTTGCCTGGCAGGGCCCCAGGGACCCCCAGAACAGGCCTGTGCTGCTGCTTGGGTGTGGGGTGCCTGGGGCAATGGGGCCAGCGCTGTGCTCAGCTGGAGAGGGTCTGCCCACCTCCACCCCCACAGGCTGGCATGGGGCCAGGATGCCCCCTGCCGCCCGCCACACACATCAAGGCTCAAGCTGCTGTTCCCTGGGCTCAGGCCCCTCCCCACCTCCCCACAGGTCTGGCCTGGCCTGGATCTGGGCACAGCGCCCACAGCACAGAAAGAGGAATCGGGGCAGGGTGGGAGTTCCCGCAGCTCCTTGCGGAGGGCACCAGCACATTGGCTCACTGGTGCGCACGTGCACTTTCACACGCACACGGGCACAGTTGTGTGCTGGCACACGCTTGTACGTGCAGGGATTTTGTAGATGTGCAGAGCCAGCCCTTTGTTCACATGCATCTGCATGCAAGCATTCGCGTGCGCGCATACACACGTGTACATCTTATACTGTGGGAGGTTGCTACACAGCCCCATACACAGCTGCATCTTGTGCCCCTAAGGTTGCCCCTGGCAGACTTCCCAGGAATCTGGGAGAAGCTCACAAGTGTGGGGGCTGCGGGTCAGGAGTGAGGGACACGGGCAGGGGGCTGTGGGTTGGGAGTGAGGGGCCCTGGAAGGGCCGTGGGGGGGCAGAGCACTGCAGGTCAGGAGTGAGGGGCACCAGCGGGGGACTGTGGGTGGGGAGCGAGGGGCTCTGGCAAGGATTTGGGGGCAGGGGGCTGCCGGTTGGGAGTGAGGGGCACTGGGGGGCAGGGGGCACTGGTTAAGGAGTGAGGGGCACAGGCAAGCATGTTGGGATGGGGCTGTGGGTCAGGAGTGAGGGGCACCAGTGGAGGTGGGCAGGGTGCTGCAGTTTGGGAGCAAGGGGCACCGGCCAGCCTGAAGAAGTGGGGGTCGCAGGTTCAGGACTCCTGCTGGGGGAGCACCCCTCAGCCCCTCCTTGCCCTCCCAACCCAGCGGGGGCCCAGGGGGGGGGTGGGAAAGGGCGAGTCAGTGATGGGGGGGGGCTGTCAGGCAAAGGTCTCAGCCCCATGAATCAGCCTTAATTAAATCTGTGGGGGCTGCCTAGGAACTGCCCGGGGGGAGATTTAAGGCATGGGTGGGGCTTCGGCTTGGGATGGCCATGCCAGCCCCTTAGTGCCAGCCAAGGCAGCCTGCCCAGTGCCCCCCCCTCCTCCCCCGTGTCCTTGCCGGCATCAGTGTGGAGGGGGGTGATGTCTTTCTGTCCCATCTGACAGATTTACAAGGTTGTGCCCCCCTCACCACCCTGGGCATCTCCATGGAGACCCCAGCTCCAGGAGGAGGTCCAGGGAGCCAGGACGCCATGGGCACCAGGCCAGGAAAAACCAGGTATCTGGGCTCCGGCCCTGCGCCCTGGAGCCGGGGGAACCCAGGCATCCGGCCCCCCGACCCCACTTCTCAGAGCTGGGGAGACGCCAGGTGGTCGGTACCCACGCTGTCTGGTCTGGCTGGCAGAGGGCCCTGGCAAGGCAGGTGCCAGGGGCCAGTCTCCTGGACTCCTGGGTGTTCCCCCTTGGAGCTGGGGCAGCCATTGGGCTTGCTCCCAGCTCACTGGTGCCCTTGCTCCAGCCCCTCAGCACCCCCAGCCCTTCAGGGGCCGGAGCCCTAACAGCAGCACCATGTGCACATGTGTGTGCAGGTGTTTGCACATGCGTGACCTGCTGGGGCAGGGCCTCTGAACCCTGCCAGGCCTATGTTAGGGCCTGTCCCATGCCATGTCCTCGGGTTCTGGAGGTATGGGCAGGGCTGGGCTCTGCAGGGACGTGGATGCCCGGCACGTGGCACTTCCACCCACAGGCGCCTGCTCACGGCCCCGGGCAGGGGCTGCCGGAGCTGGGGCTGTCCCAGCGCCTGAGTCAGCGTGAAGCTCCGGGAAGGGAAGGAAGTGATGCAACAAGCCATGATGCCCCAGGACAAAGGCAGGCCTCGGCCGTGGGGCCTCAGGGTGGTCCTGGGCATCCACTGCCACAGGGGTAACAGCCCTGCTGGTGCCCCTCACTCTTGACTGCAGCCCCCTGACCCCAGCCCTGCCGGTGCCCCTCCCACCTGCCACGGCTGTGGCCACGTCTCTCCCTGCCCGCTCTCCCCTGCCAGCTTTGAGTCCAGCCCAGTCCCAGGCTTCCCCTTTCCCTGCTCCGGCCAGGGCCCAGCCGAGTAGGGACCCCAGGCAGGGCCATGTATGGCTGCAGTGCTCAGCAACAAGCCACAGGCACGGTTCAAAATGTGTGGGGGGTCTCTTTATTGAAACAAGCTCTGCTCAACCCCTGCCGCTCTGCTACCCCTTGAAGCTCTGCCACCACGGGCTGGGGCAGGAGGGGCAGCCCTGGGTGTCCTGCTGGGCACAGGGAGGCTCCCACGGGCCTTCCTGGGCCCAACTGACGGCCACGTATCCAGCTGGCAGCTCTGGGGGCAGGAGCTGTGGTCTCAGGCCCCCCACAGCCCACAGAGGCGCCGGGGCCCCGCCTGCAGCAAGGTGCGGTAGGCATGGCGGAAACGCCGGTTCATGACAGCGTAGAGCAAGGGGTTGATGCAGCTGTTGAGCCACGTGAGCTGCGCGGCCGCCATGTGCAGGCCGGTGGGTGCAACAGCCCGCGCATCGCCTGCCGTCACGGCTAGGAAGGGCGCATAGCTCAGCACGAACACGGCAAACACCGCAAAACACATGCGCGTCACCCCTGCTGCCTCCTTGCCGCCACCGGCGCCAGGTTCACGGGGCCGTGGTGGGGGCGCCACAGCGCATGACTGCTGCACGGCGCTGTGGCCCGTGGCAGCATCGCTGGATGACTGCGTGATGCCCGTGTCCGTGCCGCTTTCCATCTCATGGTACTGCCCCGGCACGCCGGCCTGGCCCCCACGCAGGCTTCGTTGGTAGCGCCGCAGGGCCTGCGCCGTGGCACGCACGCGCCGGTAGATGAGGAAGTAGAAGGCACCCACGCAGCCCAAGCCAACGATGAAGTAGAGGCCCAGCAGCACTGTGCTGTAGGGCCGGCTCCGCTCCCGGTGGAAGCTGCAGGTGCAGACCTTGGGCACGAACCCATAGACGGGCCACAGTGGGGCAAAGCTGACCAGGGCCACGGCCCACGTGGCACCGGCAGCCGCCAGGGCCACACGGCGACGGGCGAAGAGTCGGGCAGAGCGTGGGGAGCCGGCAATGAGCAGGTAGCGGCTAATGGCCACAAGGCACAAGGTGAGCACAGAGGTGGCGTTGGCCACGAAGAGCAGCAGGCCAAAGGCCTGGCAGGCCGTGGCACCCGCCCGCCAGTGCCGCCACAGGTAGGGGGCCCCAGAGGAAG